CAGGGTTTATAAATACTTGTAAAATTGTGAGCAATATAAGACTGAAAACTGAATGAATGCTATGGCAAACACAGTAAAACGAAAACTGCAAGGATTCTTACATACTGCTAAACGCCAGGTGTCCGTTGCTATGCTTAAACGCTATCATGGATGAAACCAATCCGGGTTTTCTTCATCGACGAAAACGCTGTGCTTAAAGAAATAGGGGGAAGATTTCAGCAGCAATGAACACGGATTGATCAGATTTAGTAACGTTTTGTCACTTTCCCAGCCAGGAATCTATTACGTAACAGTGTATTAAGTTTCGACTCACTAATTTGCACAGCCATGCTACTTAATGTTCGAATAATATTTCCTCTTCCACCGAATTAACTGTCATTTCGGCAACTTGTTTGCCTTCAATCAGACGTGTTGAAAACATAATTCTGGTAGTCTCCAAAACTGTTCACTAACTTACAAAACATAGTCTTGAGTCTGAATTTTTGTATACAAATGTTTTTCACTGCTTATTTTGTTTTGTGTATTTTGAGATTATTCAAACTCAAAATAGAAGGCCAAACAATATACAGAAAACGTCACTGCAAAGTTACAAAATTCAAATCAATATTCTCGCTTAAACTGGGTTATCTTAATCGGGCTTTGAACAACCCGGCTCAGGAGCTCGGCTTTCAGGCCTGGCTAAATCTGTATATTATTTAATGCCCTAGAGTATGTAAATGTATAAGGGCCTTTTGAGTTTTGGATTAAAATTGGTTTTGGTTTGTTTAATTAGTTTGAGTCTGGGAGTTTTGGTTTGTCTTAAGTCATGGCGTTTGTTTAGATGGGTGTTGTGTGTTTGCACATTTCGAGCGACTTTCCGCGGTCGCCTTTTTTCTCCAAACCTTATACGAGCATGAAAGGGACTGCTGTGAATAGTTGGCTATTTCCACCAGTCCCTTGCAGAGCGAGTACAAGATCTGACTCCCTAATGTACTCAGATCACTTTCACGTAACTAGTGTTCTCTAGCCCAGATCCTTAGTGCTCACTACTTCCTTTCATGCTAATTCCTTCGATCCTTTAAGCCGCTCTCTCTCTCTCTCTCTCTCTCTCTCTCTCTGAATAGTTACCTATTGTAAGTTGAGCTCATCTTAAATAAAAAAACGGCCACTTAACTGATTGGCCAAATTATGACAAAGATTTGTGTGACTTTAATTCCATCTCTTCCCAGCAAACCGAGCTTAGCTTAAGCAATGTAAATTGTGAAATACAAGTAAGTGAGCAAGGGGCATAAATGAGGTTTATTACCAAAGGGATTTAAAATTTTGTGCGACCTACCCCATGATTAGTTTCCCGAATAAAGTCATATCCGCGACTTAAATAAGTTAAGATTATATACTTAAGCATTTGAGCATCGCGTTGTGGGCCCCTTTCCTAGAAGCTTCGGTGCTGGGCAAGTTTTTCCCACCCACTTTACCCCTCCCATTTTTGGTGCATTATCGGTGGAATATTATAACATACGTGCAGTCAAGTAAGGCGTCTTTGTAATAACCTTTGCTGAAAAAAGGTACTCATTTCCAGTTCTATTGTAATTTGAGATAATCTTAACAACAAACGGCCAATTAACTGAGTGGCCAGATTATTGCAAAGATTTGTCAGTTAAGTTCTCTCCCCAGCAAACCGAGCTTCGCCTTAGCAATGTACATTGTAAAATACAATCCTTAGAAAGGGAGAAAGGGGCATAAATATGAGTATTTAGGACAAACCCTTCATGCCACCGGCAAGAATCTGATTCCTCATACTCCACAAAGAATCGCATGGGCAAACTGCTGCTGCTGACTGGTGGGTCTGGCAGTACTGATGTTTCTAAAATTAAATGAAATGAAACGAAATGCAATGCAATGCAATAAAATGAAAGGAGACAAATTTTTGCTCCTTCCATCCGCCGTCCATACATCAGCCAGTAAGCCAGTCATTCAGTCAGTCAGTCAGTCAATTAGACAGTCAGTAAGTCAGTCATCATATGGGACGATCGGTTCGTCGCTTAGTCAGTCTGTCTGTAGGTCTGTCTGTAGGTCTGTCAATAGGTCTGTAAGTCAGGCAGTTGAATGTTAGAGTGAACTTGACCATTGTATTCGTTACAGATCTACTGGAAAAACTGATATACAGCTGATCTTTCTGAATTACTTTCTGAGCTGATCTGGTCAGATGGGTTGGTCTCCAGTTCTATATATTCAAGTGAGGTTAAAGTTAACGGAACGCCTCTGTATTGCTTACCAGACGGTATTGAAGACCACTGGCTTGGAACGTCAGCACTTGTTGAATTTTTGCCCGCTTTCTGATTGCCAGATGGGCCTTTACGAGACCTGCAACAGACAAAAACAGTTTCATCAATTCGTAACTGAGAGCCTCGAGGTGATCTCTTATAAACGTAATGACGCAACACACATTAAGGCAGGTTTCCATTCGACGCGTGCTATACGATAGTAGCCTGCGGTGAAGCCGGACGTGTCCGCACAAAATTCTCGATAGAGTCTACACCGGCGGTGTAAACTGTTTCTGACGACGGTGATAGTTAGTACAGGTAATCATACGGTTTCGAGTTCAATTTGGAATTAATTTGCACGAGTGAGTTTTTCTAAGAGCTGAAATTGCACGAGGCGCTTCGGCGAGTGCAATTTCAGCTTTTTGAACAACTCATAAGTGCCAATTAATTCAACATTGAACGAGAAAAACCGTATGATTACCTATTAATAATATAAATATGAAAAAAATCGCCTGGAGGAAGTGTCGGAAGATCTTTCTTGAAGCCATTTTTTCTCATTCGAGAAAGCTTCTGTCAAAGTTTCCGCACAAAATTCTCGTCATCATTTTAGGGGATATCATTGGCTCAGAAAATTTCCTATTGTCTTTGAGCCAAATATAATCCAGAATTACGATGTGTAATTCGCACTGGTGTTACACGTTTTGCACTGGTGTGACACTTTTTGCACTGGTGTTACACTTGAACTGCACTGCTCTCAGCCAATCAGAATCGAGTAATTTTCTCATGTATATTATTTATCTAGAAACTACTCTTCAACGATCACTGCGATTTTAGACATCGTTACCCCGTTATCGTTACCTCAGTTTATCGCAAAGAACGTAAAGTTCGTTGCGATCGATCGTTGCATTAAAATATACCAATTATAGTAAATATGGAAATGGTACGCGTTAAACTTTCCATTCCAACTTTGCGCCTTAAGCTCCACACCCTAATCTTAAAATTAATAAATTATAAAGATTCGTCCAAATGATTTTTGCGCTACATGAGAATCCAAGTCCCCCTCAAAGAACCTTCTGTTTATTAATCACTACTTATTCACCGAGAGTAGGGCCTTAACCAGAAAATCCAAACCGAGACAATGCCGTAATGACCGAGCGATAGCCACAATACGACAAAGCCGAGGTTTTATCATGAGATTCTCCCGTAAAGACCGAACGCTCCAGGTTAATGAGTTGTTTATTATTTGGCTTTTTGCTCTGTCTATGCAGGCCTGTGATCGGCCCGTGGGCATTACGGGAGAATAATACCCTAGCGCTAGCCAACCAGAGTGTGCTTTATACCGGCTAAAAACACAAGCCATATAAGATAAACGTTTTCAGTACTGCCTAATATCATTAAGTGAAGTCTTTGGGTTTTGGTCCCGCTTAAGTTGCATGCACAGCTGTAAGTTTAACTTATTCATCACTAAATATCAGAATTTTGGACATACTCTTCATGCCACTGGTAGGAATCTAATTCCTTATACTCCCGACAGTCTGGCATAGGCC